CAGGTTACAATTAAAGTAACTAGGACTTGTCGTGGCTACTTAATTGACCAATCAAGTGTTTGCATCATAAAATTAATAACAATTCTATTTTTTGCCCTACCAGTGAAACTTATTTTTTTCCATCTTTTAATGCGCAAGCACTCGCAATTGTTTTTCACATTTTTTTCTTTTCTCGAGGTGGCATCAAACAGGAGTTGGTTATTCCTTCTTGTTTACTATTAAACCCTTAGAGGGCATTTAAACAACCAGGTTTTTCAAGCTATGAAAAAAATCAAGCTGGTCACGCGTAGCAGTTCTCAGTTTCAGTTATCTTGAAAATCTTGCCAAGATCTTGAAGAGTTTTGAAGATTTATGATAGACACCAAAGAAACTTTGAGATAGATCTGGTTTTTTCAAGGTACCTTAAAGTCTAAGCTACATGAAAACATCCTGGCAAACATGGTTTTTGCAGCTCAATAGAGGAATTTGATTTTTATTGCAATCTAAAAAAAGATCTTGAAGATTCTTCAAGATTTTTCAAAGAATCATCGAGATCTTTTAGGATATCCAAGAAACGTTTCTTATCTTTTTAGACAGCTCATAGCAATTTAATGAGCGAACACATAGTCGAGTTTCTGTCATAATCAGAAAAAAATCTTGAAAGTAAAACCGTCAATCAAAACCCTTTTAAGAAAATCTTTTCAAAAATCGTTTCAAAAATCTTTTCAAAAATCGCTTTTATTCATCAATCATTCTCAGAGAAATATCTACTGCCCAAAATGAAGTAGCAGCGATTTATTTCTACAACAGCAACATTTCAAAGCCAAACCAGAAAAAAAATCGCTCATAGACAACTCTGAGCCGTCTCTAACCTATGCTACCATGTATTGCTGTTTTTGTGTTCTGGAGTTTTGAAGTTATTGAAGTCATAACTGATGGATTTGGGTTCGATTTGTTTTTTGTCTAATTTTTTCATGCAGCATTACTTCAAAAATCGTTTATCTTAAACAATCTATCTGAAAAAAATATCTACTGCCCAAAATGAAGTCGCAGAGATTCTTTTCTACAATTTTAGTTGTAATAAAACAAGATTTCAAAACCAAACCAGAAAAAAAATCAATCATAGACACTTCTGAGCCGTCTGTCATCTATGCTACCCTGTATTTTTTTGTGTGTTCTGGATTTTTGAAGTTATAGAAATCGGAAAGTTTGAAACATAAAGTGAGCACCTCCTTCCAGGATACAAATATAACCAAAATTTGTACGGAAAAAAAAACATGAATGGTTTATCTTACTTTTTGCAATTCCATGTATAACAGTTATTAATCGTAGTTTTTTATGCAAGTTTCTTAATAATACGCTTTTTTGGTCATCCAAGGGAGAAAGAAGATTGTTCACTTGTTTCAAAGTTTCCTGAAGAGAAATTCAAGATTTTCAGCAGAATTGTTAAAATTTCGTCGCATATCAAGTTTTACTCACACCGCTATCCAACACTACCAACTAAAATACGAATCGTTTTTTTTGTTATTTAATGCGCAGAAAATATAGCATAGAGCCTAAATAATTTTATAAAACTTTATTGCAAACATTACAAGTACTCGAGTTGAAATTTTTTATTTAATCAGCGTAAAACTTTATTGGATGAATTCCATAGTTAGAAATTTAAAAAGTAAGGCAAACTTCCGCCCTGAATCCGCTCATGAATTTTGCTGCTCCAAATTGATTTTGCATTTTGGAGTTTTTTCAAATCATTCATTTTTTTATCAAAAAAAATATGTTTTTTGTACCACTTTGAAATAGTTGTTTAGGTGGAATCCCTCATGCGCTAAGGACGGAATGCGCGAAAAAAAAATCAGCCAATCAGATTTCAGTTATCTAAAATTTGGAAAGAAAGTACACGGTTTGGAGTATTGATATTGGCCGAATCTAAAAATGGCAGAAATATGCAAAACTTTCAATTTGTCATTGACCGCCGCAAAATTGGGACGAATTTTACATTTCAAGGGCATCGTAATGAAAGAAGCAAAGTATTGCTTCAATTAATTCATTTTAACTGAATGGCCACTGCTTTTTTTAAATTTGACTCTCGGCTAATTTTATTTTCGGTCATTCGCTCACAAGTTTTTTTCGCGCATTCGGTCCTTCGCGCATGAGAATAGCCCCCGGTTGTTTAACGAAAGTAGGAAAAAATTCGGCGTATCGTGTTTTCTCTTCCTTATTGACTACTCGAGAAAAAAAACGCAATATTGGACGTGATTTTCATTTAAAAAGTCAAAATAAATTTCAGCGTCGAAAAAATTGTCAGCATTTTTCCGACTTTCACACTAAACTTGACAATTTATGTAGAGAATGACCTCAAGCAAATTGACGTCTATTTATTTTTTCAAGTTTTTTTTGCTATTTTTATGATTCGTTCTTCAGAAAAAAAAAGGAAAAGTTTTTTTCCTCAATTTAATTAAATCATTTTTTTTTTCATTTCTCTAGAAATTTTTCATCTTTTTAATTTTCTTCCTTTAGCTCAATAGTTGAAACAATCTGAGTTTCATGCAGAGCGTTTGGCTATCATTGTATAGTTTTTGATTTTATTTCAATGGAATGGTATTCAATTTGGTTTTCAATAGTTGTTCCAGGAGCTGATGTGACAGTTGATAATTGATATTAGAAAAAAGCTACGATTTTTTCCACCGAAAACGGTAAGAATTGAAAAAAAGTTTTCATCATAAGTAAAATGATTGAAACTAGTGCAGAGGATATTTTTTTCAATTAAACGGTATTGATCTTTTTACATTGAGTTTTCTGTTTTTTTTTGCAGCTATCTTTGTTTAGAAAAACTAAAACGTCGTACAGTTGAACCTCATAGATCAGCACACTCACTCATCCAAAATCCAACTGCCACAGTAACAGATCCCAGTGTATTGAATCAAATTTCCTTAAGTTGATATATAATTAAAACTAAAACAAATATACTTCAAAACGAAGTTTGTATACGCTAAGTTTCTTTACACGATGTCCGCAAAAATACATCAGTTCTATCGAAAAGTTTTCTTTCTCAAGTTTGTAAGCAAGCTTTTATAAATATTTTTTCAGTTCTAAGTGATCGGTGTACAAAGTTCTGACAAGAAAGTTTACAAACGAGCTCTTTCGGTGCTGAATGATTATCTAATTTTGATTAAAAAAATCAATTCGCCAGATTTAGTTAGGAAACAAAACATCTATAACACCAAGGTCAATGACAATTTAAAGCAATTTAAAGCCAAGGTCAGCATAAGGCATTTTACTGAGAAAAAAAACATTCATTTTTACAAATATGGTATGCACCCACAAAATGATTTCAAACGGATTTCATTCTTATCATTTAAAATTTCAAAGAAAGTTCCTATTACAATTATACAAACAAAATTTGAATTTAAAAAAAATGTGTCTCGTTTTCTATTCGTGGTGTCACGAACGGATCTGACCTACAGCCATCAAATCAGCCATATTCCACATAAGAAGAATAAAGTATGTGTTTCGAAGTCGTCTTGTCGAAATCTGACTAGAAAAAAATCAAAACATTTTTGAAATTTTTTGTCAAGGAATTCTTAAACAAATTTTAAACTAATTTCAAACAAACAAGTTTGTTTTGAAAAAATAACTAAATGAAACTACCAAAACTATTTTTGTATGGCAAAATTGCCCTTCCTCAGTTTTGATTGAATTTTAAAGAATTTGACTGATAGAAATTTACCTGCCCGCTTTACTCGCTCGAAATTAATAATTCAAAATATCAAACCATTATTTTATCGACACTTTGAAAAATGCATAGTAGTTTTCAAATCACAAACTAAACGGCTTTAAAATGACCTATAACTCATCTCAGTTTAATGTTAGTTTGGGGCGCTTGATTTTGAGAGAAGAAGTGAAACTAATGGACTCCCGAAGACAAAAGTTCCTCCCCATTGGTAAAATTGTAAACTTTACTTTTTTTGGATTTTTTTTCAGGTTATTGTTCCGATCAATGATTGTGAGAAGGAGCTTTGCATTCAGTTATGTTTTTTTCTACGCAAAGTCTGGCTGAAAATAATCATCACAATAGGTTGAATGATATCTGGGGTTTCATTATGGGTGAATTTTTTCAAAAGTTTTGTGGATTTTTTATCAGGTTGACCTAATCGAATTTCGTACGGTCCTAGAACTATAGAAAAACCGTAATTATACAACAAAAAATTTGCGCAGCATGCAAATTTTCAAAAAAAAACAAGTCAAAAGTGCCTTTTTTGCCACTTTTCGGAAAATCGAGTTTTTACAGAGTCAAAGTTGGGTCAGTTTGGATCAATGATACTGTTCTAAGCTTTTTTTAAGGTCTTATCCAAAAATTAAAAAAAAAACTTTCATTACGCGGCCAATAAGTGCATTTTGTGAAGTTAGAAAAGAAAGCCCACCGGCGACCTTAAACTGAGAATATAGAATTTCCAATTACCTTTAAAAACTTGCGAGTTGTCACTTTCCTAAAATTTTGCGAGTTGTCTTGCTGCGAGTTGCCTTTTCTTGCGAGTTTTCGCGGTACTGTATTTCTTAAGGTTCCATCTCAACTGATTTCTTAATTTAAGATTTAAACAAAAACCAGGCAGATTAAATAAGAAGAGATTGGAACGGACGGCTGAGTAATTTTCTAAATAAGTTGTTGTGCCATCCTTTGCTTATTATAAATTTGATTATCATTATTTGGTTTTAATCTTACTTTTTTTCAATATTTCCTCCAAAAATTCATTTTTGGTCCAATTAGCTGCTCAAAAACATTTTGCACTTTATTGTACTGCTTGTGGAAGAGATAATTGAGGCAATCAAGGGATTGGTAGGCGATGAATTCCGAATATTGAATTGCTCAAACAGAAAAAATTAAATATATTACTAAATCTGGTTTTAAAGCAATTGATATTATTTTATCCAAAAAGAAAAAAGGTTTCAATTTGAGCTTGAAACAAGCTTTATTGGAACTGAATTATAGAACACCTGATTTTAAACCATATGTGAATGCCTGTAAACTACACAATGCTTCTATAGCAGATATCAAAAATGAATGAAAAACGCACAGAACGTGTGCAAAAACATACCACAAAAAACGTACTGTTTTATTACAGCATTTGCTGTGATACGTTTAAAAGACTCTTTGCGTCGTTCTAAATATACAATTTTAATTAATTGTGATTGTTTTTTTCACTGAAGCTTTTTGCTTTTACTTAAACTGAAAATTTGGTTCAACCAAAAAAAAAATAATTGAATTAACCTAAATTTAATTTTATCTACATTTATCTACACTTAGTTTCAATTTTATCTACATTTAGTTATGATTAAAAATTTTGAGATATTATGAAAAGAAAAGCAGTTAAATAGGTACAAATTTCACCTAGAAATATATATTTGTTGATCTTTTTTTGTTAGAGCCAATTATGGCCCGCTTTAATGGCCACGGCCCCGGAAGCAGCCGAACCCAGAATGGGTTCAAGTCGAGTGGAGGTGGTTCGGCCTCAACCCACATGCCGAATGGAGGAAGCAACTCGTTCAACATCAACTCGGAAGACTCGGCTGATTACGCTAGCAACGAAATGCATTACAAAATGTGCAAGAAAATCGCCCAGCTCACAAAGGTAAAAATCAAAACTATTTATTTGGCAAATGGTGTTCAGAAATTTTTTTATCGCATTAGTTATAACAGTAGCGGATTTTTTTTTGGGGGGGGGGATGCTTTGTATTATTTTGAGATATTCATTTTTGCTTGTCTGACTCTAAAATTTTACTAAAGGCGCCTTTGGCGCCAATACGTACTATTTTTCTGGGGTGAGAGTGGGGGTGGGTTCGGTTGAGCTCGCGCTACAAAAACAAGGTTTTTTTGGTCAAAATTTTCCAAAAGTTACGTCCTTTTCAAAAAATTGCCTGCGTCGCAAAAATTTTAAACATTGTCTTATAGGTGCTTGGGAGAGCTCGGAAAATCAATCGTAAATCTAAAAAAAATAGTCGACAAAATTTTCAAAGCCTTTTTAAAAATCCTCCGAGAAAATCCTGGATCCGGCCCTGAGTTATAGAATATTTTCTGCAAACGTAAGAATAACTTTTAATAAATGTTTATGGCGCAATAGTTTTTTCCTTAATTTATATAGACTTTTTTCTTAGTTTTAATTTTCAAATTTTCTGCAGGTGATCTACACTCTGAACACAAAAGCAGACGAACACGAAACAGTAGTTGAAGAAATAGAGTCGAAACACGAGACACAAATGAACAAGTTCTTCGTGGACTGTGAACAAAAACTAACATTAGCCAAGTCCAAAATAGAAGACCAGAAGTCACTCAAAGACAAAATATTATCACTAGAAGCAAAAATTGAGGGTCTCAAGGGCACCAAAGACATGCATGAAGTGGAGCTGAAAAAAGTGAAAAGCAGCGCCCAAGACGAAATCACCAAATTAAAAATAAGTCATAGCAATACCATTTTAAATCTAGGAAAGGAGGTTGAAACACTCAGAGATAAATTAGAAACACAAACTGATGAGTTTTCGCAACTTTTACATAATCTAGTTAAAGAAAAAGAAAAAAGTTTAGAAGAAGTCCGAGTTTTACATGATAAGACTTTGGAAACACTGAAATTTGACCATAAAGAAGAAATCAGAAAACTGAAAGAATCAATGAGCCAATTGGAAAGTCCTGAAAAATTAACCAGCCTCCAAAAAGAATTACAAGACATGCAAAAATTGAAAGAAATAGCCGAGAGCAGTTTATTGTCCGAGACTGAAAAGTTACGTAATCAGCATGATGACGAATTAGAAAAATTACGCAATGATCTGCAGTTAGAAGCAATGCAAGCCACGAGAAGTGTCCGTGACAGTCTAAGTCAGAAATTGCAATCGCGAGAACAAGAATTGAACTCCGAAATTGAGCGCCGCAATTCGGAAATTGGTTCAAAAATCAAAGAAATTGAAAGTCTGAAACAGATTACTGAACGGGTGAGTATTAGTTTTGAATTAATTTTAAAAAATTTGACTTTTAGGTGCTGGAGCATCCGATTAACAACGCAAGAAGATTGAATTTGTGCTCTTTGAGTGTTTACTTGGAAAGCTAACAATTTTCTTGGGATGGCTGTTTCGAGGAGAATTACTATATGCCAGCACTATCTCTGGCTCTGATAAGTTTAATGTTACTCATGATCAGATCTGAAACATTGATGAATCAGCGCGGGAAGTGCCAATTTTAAATCAGCACTCAACCGTGGCTGAGTTTTTGCAATCAGCACTGAACTGTCACTGAATCAGTGCTGACTTTTGAATTTTTAGAATGCAAAAACGTAACTGGGGGCAATCGAACTGTTTTTTCCCGACATTTAGTCCCTTGCGTTAATTTCATGCCAATATTCGTTGATAGATGACGAAAAGTTACTAAAAACTCACTATTGTCAGAGATCATTGTGCCTACGATAAAATGAGCACCAAGGTCAAGTTTGAGAAAAATTTGATACTGATTTTGTCTGCTGATGAAAAGTCAATGATACATTTGCTTTAGTCTCATTGTTCCCACCATTTTAAAAAATTGGAGGAACTTTGTATTCGGCTGTTTTTGTTTGGTTTTCACGCAAAATCAGGTAATCATTGGAATGGGTCGAGTGATATACCTTATCAAAGCCTTTTCAGTCGTGATTTGATGGAATTTAAAAACTTTGAAAAATGTTTCTCACAATGAAGAAAAACCAATTTGAAAATTTTAAAGTCTTATAAAGAGAAATTTTATTGAGTTTCGATTGAGAGCATTTTAACGCCTTTGCAAAAACGTTTCAGATTTTTCGATCCGGCTAGATGTTTTTGATTGTTTTATAAATAAGTAAACAAACTGTCCCAGACAAAATTGTCCTAAAATTGTCCATAAATTGTTCACCTAATTTTCAATCTAGATATCAACCGGAGAATTTTAATAAAATTTTTGAATAAGGAGGATCAATTTGATAAGGCTGCGGAAATAGGCAATAGGCTGCGGAAGTTTTCACTGAAAAACCTATTGGAGATTTAATTAAAAGAGGACTAAAATCATTTAAGTTTACCTGAACAATTTTTGCTTGGTTCATGTGTGCGCCAAACGTAGCTTTCAGTATCCTTATTATAGCTCTTGAGTACGTGCTCAACAATGGAAGTCCTTACGACAAAGAAAAAACTTCAAATGCTAGTTTATGATGCCTTAAGAAGATTTCAAACAAGGAGTTTTGACAGAAACCCCAATTTTGTGGCGATGAGTTTTATCAAAACGTAATGGCCGCGTGCGTGCTTTGCAAGACAAGGTCAATATCATAAATGATCATAAACCTTTCCCAGATCCAGGTGACATTGAAAAGCGAAAACTCAGAACAACTCTTAAAACAAGAGGAGTTATAGCAGATGACCCACTTAGACCAACAATTTTTTCCGTTCAAATGGACCTAAACAGGGAAACTGCAGCAGTGATTCCAAACTATTCAGTAAATCAGAGAGCCGTAAACGGCGTCAAGCAGGAAAGATGGTCCAGAATGCAGGTTCAAAATCACGAATTGGTTTTGAACTACCAAAGTTGCTCAAAGTGACTCACAGTCGCGAACGTTTCCTTCATTTTGACTCTGGACCAGATAATACTCAGCGAGTTATGGTTTTTACCCTCCTTCGAGGACTGGATTTTCTTAGTGGTGCTGATAATTGGTTGGGCGATGGCGCTTTTTCAAAGGCCCCGAAAGACTTTTTTCAGATATAAACAGTACATGCATCAGTTGAAGGAGTTCTGGTCCCTATTGTGTCCCTAGCATTGCTTCCAAACAAAAAAGAGACTTATTTTCGACTGTTAAACTGCGTCCAAATAGAAATTCCGAAAAGAACTCAAATCGCCCCAAAAAGAATTTCCCAAATTGAGAAAAACGTCAGAGATTTGAACTTCCGATCTTGCAACTTATCACTTCAAAGCTCGGCCAAACGCGCTTGGAAGAGTTCCATTTAATTGATTTTCAAAATTCGGTCTCGCTTTGAAATTTTCATGGTTTTTTGATGCACATTGAATCTAATTACAGAACGATCAAACATATGCAAAACATCGAAGCATCAAAGATCACAAGGTCAACTCAAAGAAACTAATTGCAGAAATTTTGTCTTCGAAACAAAAGTCTGGTAAAGTTTTATAGCTTAGGACAGTTTTGTCGAGGACACAAATGTCTGGGACACAAAGATCTTTGCACACTCATTACCAATCTTTGTATTTCAAGCCATTTATCTAAGGTATTTGTAGAGAATACAGGTAAAAAGTGAAAATAAAACTACTTGCACTTACATTTATAAAAAAGGAAAGCATAATTGATAACTAGCTTCCTACAAAATTTATTTCAAGTTTCTCTTTGTTCTGACCCTTAAAAAAAGTTTTAAAAAAACAAAACAATTATTGAAAAAAAATCACAACAGTGGTTAAATTTTTTAGAAGTTTTTAATTGCAGCTCAAATCACACTTGAGAGGACCTTAATATAATAAACTTTCAAACATCAATGAAGTTTGAAGCAAAGCTCCTTCACACTATCAGGTAATCGGAACAAGTACCCAACAAACTTTTGCTGCTCATTTTGGAACCAATTGCCACCTAAAGGCTCATTTAGGATCATTAATTAAAACGGCTGTTGGTCTTAAGTGTTTATTGAATCAACCCTTTCTGACCTAATGCGATACGATAAGAAAAAAAAGCGTGACACATGAACACTTGCCTCGATTTTCAGCTTGTTTTCAAACATGACACGAACGAACTTTTCAAGGGATTTTAATATTCGAAGAAATTACTTTATCATAAAAAAGCCAATTGATAGTTTTAGTACTTTTTACTCTCTGTGAGTTTTAATCTTTATCAGAAAAAATAACTGCTGGAAACTTCAGTGGGACCATGTTTTTTTAGAAGATAGAACATGGAAGGGTTTATTTATAGAAAGAGTCAAAAACTCTCCAAATTTTTTGCTTTTAGATAGGTAAATCTAAATCTGCTTAAATGTTGCTTTAGCTTAATGTTGCCAAATGTTTAGCAAAAGATGGAACTTAGTGCGAAGCATGGGGAGGGTCAGAGCATGAGTGAAGAGTTCAACTTAATGAAAGAACAGATGGGCAATCTGGAAACAGAAAACACAGTCCTCAAAAACAGGGCAGACAGTTTGACTGCTGAAGTGAAGAAAAGAGATGCAGAAATACAATCACTGAAAGGTGGGGCTTGTAAATTAAAAGTACTATGATTGACAGTCAATACATTTCTAGATAGCGCCCGAAACTGAACTATTTGCTTGAAAACAGCCGAAATTGATAAATAAATTGGAGTAAACAATTATCAATCAGCAAAAAAAACTTGAAGTTTATCTCCGTGCAGAGAAGAAATGGTCTGAACATGATGTTTTTCTTCATGATTAATTATGTAAATTGGCTAACTTGCAGTCGAGACAAAAATTATCTTTATAATCAATGAAAGTAAAAAAAAATAGGTAAAAAGGAGAAGCTAGTTGCACAATAACCAAATACTCTTGTTCCGACAATTTCAGAAAGCGGCGAAGGGCAGAACCTATGGCGCCGGGTTTTCTCTTCTCAATTTTGCCTACTTCAGAGAAATTTAGCAAGGATTCAAAGATGATATCATATTACACCCCTTTCAGCCATTATATGACAAAGATGATGAAACTAACAACTCAATTTTGTTGACACGCATTGTATTCAACTGTAGTTGTTACGCTATTTAACTTTTCGTCACCTCCATTCCGAGACTTTTTACCTTAAACAGGCTTTTCTCAAACGAGAAAATTAGAAAAATATCGCTTATTTTTTTCGATTTTCTCTTAAATTAGTTTTTCTACTTAATTAATGTAGTAGGAACATTCTGTATTGCTTCCGCAGAAACATGCTATGCTTGTATCAAATTGAGTTTATCAAAATAGAAAAGGATCGATTGTTTTGGCCCGTTTGTTTCGTTCCTGGAAAGATTTTTTTTTGTTTATCATACGAGGGTTTTTGGTTCCCAATTACAGCTAAGTAAGTTCCACAAAACTGAAGGTTCTATAACATGCATCATTTTACATTGATCGAAAGAATAGATTTTTTTTTTCAAAAGGTCGATGAACATAGTGAGGACAATAATATAACTCAGGAAAAAGACAATAATATTTTTTTTCAGGAAAAAGTCCCAAAAGTGGTTCCCGCTCAATATTCATTTTTCGAGGATAAATTTTTATAAACTTTTCATATTCAATTCAGTTTAATTTTTTAAATGATATTCAAATTACGTTCTTTTTTCACAAAAATGCAAATGGCGGGAAAAACATATCAAAAATGAATTTTAATTGTTCAGAATTCCGAGAGAAATAAAAAACTATCAATTGATCCATTCATCCCAAAGAGGGTTAATTTTATCCAAAAAAATTAAACTCATAAAAAACATCAAACAACAAAAAATGCTTGCTTTCTTTAAGACTCAAAAATTGAGAATTAGTTGTTAAAACTTCAATTTGTTTCAGTCTCCTTAAATAAAAAAATACTCACAAACAAACAAGTCTTTTGCTCGTGGCATATTATTTTAATCATAAACTCAGCTGTTTCTAAAACTTTTTGTGAAACATTACAGATTAATGACAGCTAATAGTCTGCAATAATAAAAACAAGGATAGCCGGTTGCTGGGCACGTATCACAGAATGTTGCGACCACGTTCATTTTGCGACCAAAAAAACTACATTTTTTTCTTGTGCGTAATAAGATGAGAGAACTATACAAAACGTGTAAAAAGTTAGTTAATTAAGCATAATCAGCAACAGTTATCTCCAAAAAGTCAAAAAAAGAAAAGTCTCTTTTTTTCTTCAAAAAAAAATTTTTGTCGCACAAATTTTTTTTTTTTGAGAATATTTATAGCAAGTTAAGCGCAAAATGATGCTTTCATAACCTGCTTTTGTTTAAAAAAACCTAAATGGCAAATTTGTAAATAACGAACATAACTCGGTTGCTTTACTCGCTCTAGATTAGGCTAAAATACAAAAAAGTCGATTGAAAGCGCTTTAATATGATTTATCACTCATCCCATTCAGATGATTTTTTGTTGTACCTGATTTTGGGCGAAAAAATGGCAGGAAAAAATATGGTTTGATACCACTCGGACAGAAGAACTCATTGAGAATTCAAACTTTTTACCTGAATTCTACTTCACTAAATTCTTATGCAGGAAGTGAGTGGAACTTAAAATTAAGCTAGTAAGGTGTCATGTGGTGCTAAATCAGTTCAAGTAAGTTTATCAACCTATAGCCATCAATCATCCGTCAGTCAATGGTGCCAAACTGATTCCGGCAGGTACTGGCCTTCGGCGCTGTCTGTCACCCTCGGTTGACCTCTGTAAACACTCTCTTGATAAGCTTTGCAAGATTAAGTTATATATTAATCATGTTACGAATAATAATTAAAAATAACAAGGTAGTTCCTGCAAATTGCAGAGGATCTATCAGTAGGCCTTAACAGTCCTGTCGAGGATGGTCCATTTGTATTATCTCTCCACATTCCAGACTGTGTTATTTTGTTGAGCGAAGCTCGATTTTTGCGACTCAGAACCATTTTTTTGCGTCCACAGTTTTGATGTGGTACCATTATTGCAGCCAAATTTGGTCAAATTATGGTAGACTTGAAGCTAGAGGTCAAGTGAGAGCTCTTCCTCACACACTATCATTGCCATAGCATGGGATCGAATACACGATCTGACAATTTCAAAGTGAACGCCTTACCACTATGCTATGTCTTAACACGGAAGTTGATTACTGTTTGAGCATAAGGCATTTCAAAATCAGGTTTTCAACATGGCAAAGCCAGCAGTACCGAGTGCAGGGAAAGTCTACCTGGAACCACTGGGTTCTGGGCACCGAAATGCAACGAACCCTCAATGCTGTGGGAGTTTTGGTTCAACAGGTTCCAATGGGGCATGGTCGCAAAACACGGGTTGAACCATATGAATTTTTTCTTCGACGCCGCATTTACGCCAACGCAAGTCACCGCCCTGCTGGCCGACGTAGATGGAACGGAAAAATAGGCTGCAAAACGAGCGAATCCTGATCCCGTGCCTGGGGAGAAGGGACAGGACGAACTCTATAACAGGTGGCCGCATCTGGACCCGCCGGAGTGATAAATCGGGGCTACCGTAAGAATCAGCCAGGAGGCAAATGTACATACCAAGAGCGCGGTTCAAACCGGGGGAGCCTTAACAAGCAATCGATGGTATGTTTGCGATCAACCACACTTCTCACGAGTGCACATGGAAAAATCCCCAGCCAGGAGGGTAACCCGTGATTTTTGCCATAAAGTAGGACACTACGAACGTACATGAAGGGGTAAGCGTGGAGGACAAAGAGGTCATAAGGTAGTTGGTATGATCCAGGAGCAGGAGAGGCTAAATTTTGAAGATCAACTGGAAACGCTGCAAACGTTGAGCGGGGTATATATTTTTTCAAGCATAGATCTTATTTACCCACAAGGCCAATTATCTTTCAGCGCCATACAAAGGCGCAGTGTAATTTTTCACTAGTAAGTGGGAAGACAACGGGTAGGTACCGTTTTAAAACGCGATTTTACGGGCTTACGACAATGCCAGCCGAGTTTCAGCGAGCAAGGGACTGCATTCTTTCCAAATTACAGCAAGCGCATGCGTTCATAGATAATTGTTTGGTATCACTAAGGGCACAGAAATAGATCATATAGTAACCAATGAGAAAAACTTGAAAAAGTTGAATAAAAAAATAATTCGTTTGCAAAATGCTAGCTTACACAAAAACAATGCGAATGCCTGGGCCACAAAATCACCACCACGGGGTAACACACTTAAGGCGGAAAATGGTACCAACTGAATCGCTAAAACCATCTCGCACGCTATCAGAGTTATAATCTTTCATGAGTTCTATCCATAGCCTACATAAATATCAGCCAAACTTTACTGAATCGTCCGCACCTCTAAGACCACTCTTGAAAATTTGAAAAAGCAGGTCGCAAATATCGTACAGCTCAGACATTTTGATATCTACAAGGAAATTTGATAAAGCAAGTGGCAAATATCGTACAGCTCAGACATTTTGATATCCACAAGGACATCAGAATAGTGAGCGACGCCAGCCACAATGGCCTAGGGGTAGTCATGGAGCAACTAGCATCCGAGGCGTGGAGGTAAATTTCGTTCGCGTCAAGGTATTCAAATGAAGCCAAAAGAAATACTCTACAAATGAGTTAGAAAAGCTAGCCGTTGTATGGGGGGCAGATTGTTTTCGCAATTTTGTATTAGGTCGAAAATTCATTGAAAACAGACCCTATGGCGCTTGTTTTTTTCTTAGACGTCAATAATAAGAGGAATAGAACCATGTTCAGTCGCCTAACACGAAAATTGGATCGACTAATTTCATTCGATTTTCAAGTTAAGCATAAACCAGGGGCCAAGACTGGCCTGGTGGACTGCTTATTGCAAAACCCAAAAAACGAAGTTATACCAATCAGCGCATGCGATAGCATGTTTAGAGTGGCTAAGATCAATTCAATACGAAACTCCCTCGGTTTTAAAACTTTTAACTGCGCCAAGTGACCAGAAAAAAAAATAAGTAGCTTTTCAATCAACTTGAAGCTATTTATTCAAGTTTTTGTCAATTAACTCGCTAGTAGAGGGCGTTGATTCATGCGCGCTTAAATTAGTCAATCACAGGCTAGAGATTTGCATGAACCAAAGGTTACGCTAAACAAACGCTAAGTCAGTGTAGTGTGGTCAGTGTTTCTACTCTTTTAGAACAAAGCTACTCGGAGCCGGAAATTTTGAAAATTTGAATCAAAACTTCAGAAAACTAGAAAGATTCTTAAAAAAACATCCGAGCTTGAACAAACTGATGATGAAATTGAGGAACTTAAAACGAGTTTGACATTGGAGGCATTTACGAAACAGACAAGAACAATCAAAACTAATGATATTCTATCGTTACCCCAGCAACAATTCCGCCGGTGTACCCTACTAGTTTATTAATGTCTTTTGTTATAGTCGATAAAAAACTTTTACCAAATTTATTTCCCTTCCCGAATTATTTAGTTTCAAATGTGATAATGTTTTTTGATTTTGAACAAAACGTCATCTGGATGGACGAGAAATTATTCAGTCAATTGAACCTTACCTCTGCTGTAAACAACAGAATTCACGCCTTCCATTATGGCAAGACAAACA